GACTGAGCCACCCAGGCACCCGCACCTGTTACTTTACACATGTCTTTTCTCTCCTAAACTACCTGCGACTCCAGAAAATACAGCACTCTTGGTCTGGATGACGGAACAGGGTTGAGGAAGGGATAGAACTTGGCATGTGGCCATGCTGGGCTTGGGGATCGAGTCAGCCTGATGTTGCTCCTTAGATTGTTCAGGCTGGCGTGGCACGTGTTTTTAATATATGTGTTTCCTCCCACAGCAATTAGACAGCATCCACGTCACTGTCTTGCACAAGGAGGAAGGGGCTGGCCTTGGGTTCAGCCTGGCAGGAGGAGCGGACCTAGAGAACAAAGTGATCATGGTGAGTGGCCCAGCGCTGGGGGTGCGTGAGAGCCAATGGCCCCAGCAGAGGGAACACCTGCTAGGAAGGGCCTCTCTGGGGGTCAGATGAGTGGCTGGCACCAGGCCCCTGGGCAGGATTTTGAAGGGGAGCTGTTGAAGGTACCCCATCCTTTATAAGAAGTATAGTCACGTCACCTACATGACTCCATATTCTACCCTCACCGTGATCCTTCACTGAACAAGGAAGGTCTCTGTGGACCCCAAACGACTTGAATATGCCAAAGGAAATCTGAATCACTTGTGGAACCTTAAAAAAAAATTACAGGTGTCTCAGCCTCACATCAGGACTGCTAGATCAGAATTTCCCGGGGTTAAAAGGGACATTTTAAAAAAACTCTGTGTGGAGGGACATTTTAAAAAACTCAAACCCACCGAATGTCACTGAAGAGTACACTTTAAAGTGGTTCATTGTATGTTACACGAATTTCAAGTCAACAACAACAAAAATTAGAAGCAAATTTTATTCAGTGTCTCTTGTTTTGGACAAAGAGACCAGTAACCTGTTCGCGACTGAACATTTAGACAGGAATGGTTTATGGTCACGGGGGCCTTCATGGAAAGCCGTACGGCCGACTGAAGACGTGGCCCTGATAACATAGCACAGCTCACCTGGATGCCGAGGGGCCTCACCTGGATAGAAAGACACCTGGGGAAGGCGGGTCCTGTAAAGGAGGCTGCTTTCCTGGATTTGCCCGCCGGGACCGTCGGTGGGGGGTTGGCTTGGATGCTGGAGAGGCTGCTGATGGTCGGTTGGGGCACTAGGGCCACGCTGGAAAGAAAAAGAAGCAGTTCCCGCGAGGGTTCACAGAGCACAAGGCAGGCCGCACCCTGAGCCTTCGGATCGCGTGGTCCAGCCCCCGTTCTCTGGGGATCTGCTGGAGCCTGGGGGGAGAGTGGGGAGGCAGCTGCCTCCCATCACCTGCACCTCCTCCGGTGGACCCCATGACTCTGGCCCACACCGTCTGATCTGCACTGGGAGTAGTCCACCTGTCTGCCCACCCTGTCTATCTGACCCGATGGTTTCTGGCCGTCCCATCCTCATGGACCGAGCTGTGACATGGCCGCTCCCTGTCTCCAAAGCGGGGTGCGCTGTCCTCGTCGATGGCTGTGTTGTCGCAGTGTATTCTATATGCGGGCTCACACGCATCCCCTTGCCAGCTGGAAACATACCCTCCAGCTCCTCATCAGCCAGCATGAAACACACCACACCTCCTGGCGGGTGACCTGGCCCATTCCTGTTGGTCAGTTCAGAGCCTCCCATGCGTGAGCAGGGACTTCCTTCTCTGCAAGCAGGCTCTCTACCACAAAAAAAGCACATAAAACCACCCAGGACCTATTTCTGTCCCTAAGCACGCAGCAGCGGACTACAAGGGGGCTCCTGACTGTGAGTTGACTTTCCATTGGAGGAGAAGTGAGAACTGGCCTGTGAGAATAGTACTTGGGATCTTTGGGTCTGCCCCGAGTGGTGACTTCTCTCCACCCCATTTGGCCAGCCACCCCGAGACACGGCAGCCCCTCAAACACCAGGAGGAAGCAACGCACATGGGCCAGGCATATGCGCCAGACTTCCTCTTTCTCCCTCCGTGCGTGAACACTTCGGTTCCTTTCCCGAGTCATTGCAAGAGAACTAATGTTGAGCCCCGTCCATGACCGAGGGCCATGATGGGCACTCACTGGCTTGTCTAAACCCATCTTCCCCATGACTCGGGGCGGCGGCGGGGGGCGGGGGCTGGACATGGAGGGACTACGGCAGAGGGACTCAGATGCCCAGCAGAGCTTCTGCCTCATGCTTGGGTCTCGTACGGAGCCTGGGGATCCTCGCCACATCCAACGGCATCACAGAATTTTCCGGACACCGAAATAACTTAGAGAAACAGACAGCTTGGCTTCCATGACGATGGAGCACATCTCAGTGACCACCAGCGCACGCTGTCATGCAATCCTCTTAATTATGCACTTTAGACTTGACCTCATTAAAGAGGCAGAGGCAAAAACATGAGATGTTTAAAAATCCCACATATTTTGCTGAAAGGAGACCACAAGGGGTGGCTAGGGCATTGTGTTAGGAAGGGTTCTGAGGACCAGTCTGGCCATTATTGCTGGCGATCTCCGCTCTGGGTGGCTAGGTTTGACTAACTGGTCCGGATCGTCCTCCAGCAAGAATCTGGATCTGACGCCGGGTGATTCCTGGGTCTTGACTTCCTTTGGTTTGTTCAGGTCCACAGAGTGTTCCCCAACGGGCTGGCCTCCCAGGAGGGAACTATTCAGAAGGGCAATGAGGTTCTATCCATCAACGGCAAGTCCCTCAAAGGGGCCACACACAACGATGCCCTGGCCATCCTCCGCCAAGCTCGGGACCCCAGGCAAGCCGTGATTGTCACCCGGAAGCCGGCTCTGGAGGCCATGCCCGACCTGAACTCCTCCACGGATTCCTCGGCCTCAGCCTCTGTGGCCAGCGAGGTTTCTGTAGATTCCAGTAAGTGCCCCCGAGCTTGGGGGAGGCCCTGTGGGCCACATCGCCTTTGGCCACGTGGGGTGGGTGCTGCTGGGACCGCTCAGTCATGCGTGGCCTGCCCGGCAGGCTGCTGGGGACGCGTGTCCGTGTTTATATGTGCGTGGGCATGGGTGCTGGTCCAGCAGGTGGGCTTCCCCGGCTCGCGTGCTTCCTGGAGGAGGGTGTCCCTGACAATGTCCCTGTGTTCCCCCCACAGCAGAGGCCATGGTGCACACGGTGACGCTGCAGAAGACCTCTGCGGGGCTGGGCTTCAGCCTGGAAGGCGGGAAGGGCTCCCTGCTCGGGGACAAGCCTCTCACCGTGAACAGGATTTTCAAAGGTGTGGTGTGCGTCTGCGTCTTTGCGCTCTCTCCAGCTGTGTGTTTCTGTAGATTCCAGTAAGTGCCCCAGAGCTTGGGGTTCCCACCACCCCGTGCCCTCCTGGAGGCAGGCAGGCCGGCCACGTAGGGACTCGATTCTGCTTTTTCTAGCTTTTCTCCTCGGCTCAGGACACCTCCTGACTCCTTCTCACCCACTGGGTCCTCGTAAGTGACTGAGCCCTGGGCTTGGTTCAGCTGGGCAGGGCTGGGACTAGGCGAGGCCGGGCAGGCACGGCCTTAGGCGCAGCACAGAAGGGGGCCCCCAAACCCGCAGTAGCCAATCTCAACGCGCTATTTCTTTCTTTTTTTTTTTTAAAGATTTTATTTATTTATTCATGAGAGACAGAGAGAGAGAGAGGCAGAGGCAGAGGGAGAAGCAGGCGCCCCGCGGAGCAGGGAGCCCGATGCGGGACTCGATCCCAGGACCCTGGGATCATGACCTGAGCTGAAGGCAGATGCTTAACCGACTGAGCCACCCAGGCGTCCCATCAACGCGCTATTTCTAAAAATTAAAATTAATTAAACAAAATCCATAATGAACAAAATATCAAAGTTTAAAATAAGGACAGAGTCTTTCCACTTGTATATACTCAGCCTCACTCGCCTCCCTCTAACCCTGGACCCATCAGCCCCTGTTTTTATTCAAAATGTTGATGTTTTGTTCATCATGGCTTGAGGCGCAAGCCGGCTGAAAGTGGGCATCAGTCGGGTTTTCCCGTGAACATCGTGAATGGCCTGCAGCTCCCACTGACTCTTCGCTGCTCCTCAAGCTGGACCCCAGCACCGCAGAGTGGGGATCTGTGGGCAGAGAGCACTGGGCAGGAGTCAAGGGACCCGGGTTCCGGCCCCAGCTCAGCCTCTCACTTGCTGAGAGACCACGGCCCCCGGGGCGGGGGCTCCTCGTGCACACAGAGCTGTGGGGTGTGTTTGGACCCAGGTGCACGGAGGCTCACTGGGGGGGGTCCCCAGGAATCCATGTTTACCCCAACTCTGGGAAAGACGTTTTTGACTTTCGAAGGTGGACTAGCAGCTCTGAAGCTCGGCTGGCTACCCGAGTCCTCGGGCACCTGGCAGGTGCAAAGGGACGATTGTCCCGCATGCAGTGTTAGCAGGACACCTGATAGGCACAAGGGCCCGAAATACTTCAGCAGGTTTTTATTCTCATTACTATTGGCCTTTAGTCACTATTTCTGAATATCAAACGGATGGGAAATCCTCTTTTAATATAAACAATAAAGTAACACTCTTCTGAAAGATGAAAGCCATACACGATGTCCTCTTACATGCACGCAGGGGTCCCCTCCAGACCGTTCAGAGACAGCACACCGTGAAGGTTCACCAGTCCCCTTCCCACACCGCCCAGTGCCTAGGGAGCTCATTAGAAGGGGAGAGACCACATGTGGACCAGGGTGTGGGGCTGGTGTCCATAGAGGCTCAGGGGGAGCCGCTCCCCAGAGGCCTCTATGATCCATGAAGTCTCCTCAACCCGGCTCTGGGCTCGGGGCTGCCCAGAACCTCCCTTCTCTGGGGACACATAGGCTACACCTTTCCCAAGGGCCACAGAGCTGGAGCGTGACGTGCCCACCTCGAGGTCACCGTCTGAGGAGATGCCTCGTTTCAGACCCACCGCCAAGCTCCCGAGGGATGGGCACCCTGTTCCCTCCCGAGCTGTCCTGGCTCCTCGGACACTGAGGGTTGGAGGTAACCTTCCTTGTTCCCTGGTCATCCGTGCAACCCGTTATCTTCTTCTCCCCCCTCAGGGGCAGCCTCGGAGCAGAGCGAGACAGTCGAGCCAGGAGATGAAATCTTACACTTGGCTGGCACGGCCATGCAGGGCCTCACGCGGTTTGAAGCCTGGAACATCATCAAGACGTTGCCTGATGGACCTGTCACGATTGTCATCAGGAGGAAAAGCCTGCAGGCCAAGGGGACCACAGCAGCCGGAGACCCCTAGGCGAAGTAACCGTGCCAAAGCCAGTTCACCTCGCTCCTCACAGCCGCGAATTCTCAGGGTCGCTGCTCATCCCTGCCCGGATGGGGAAAAGCAGAGATGTGCTTCCTGGTGGCCGCTGCCCTGGTCCCGACCTTCTGGGATGCCACCCAGCAAGAGGGTTGTCCCCAAAGGAAGGGAGAGTCACACCGGGATGGCCGATACAGACTATGTCTAGAGAGCGTTATGATTATACTGTGGTGCTGTAAATAAAACAGGTATGTTATAGTTTGGTATGAAATCCATGTCCTGCTTTGCGGATTTTCCAAGCCCTCTAACGGTGTAACGATTCACACCCCAGACAGCGTTCGCTTTTCTCACGAATCTGCCATGTGGGCAGGCTCGGAGGGGACAGGCCATGCTGCTTTCCTGGGCATCCGCCCGAGCAACCCAGAGGCTGGGGGCTGCAAGGACCCAGAGGGTCTTTCTCTCACACCTCTGGCAGCTGATGTTGGCTGTTGGCTGGGAACTGAGCTGGGGCCGTCAGCCTGGACACTCACAGGGGGCCTCGCCCCGGGCCTGGGCTTCCTCACAACGTGGCGGCTGGGTGCAAGGGTGAGAGCCAGGTAGAAGGTGTGTCCTTCTTATGAGCCGGCCTCGGAGCCCCAAGGCATCTTCTGCTGGACCTTATCAGGGGGCGCTGGCCCAGGTGCAAGGCGAGGGGAGACGCTGTGGGGCTATTTTGGGAAAACACAATCTACCACACAAAACAGTTGCAAAGCTGGTTTTGGCTGGGTTGGAGACATGATCCTAGGCCTAGGGTGGTACCGGGTGGTGGGGCAAGGACGCCAGGACGACAGGTGAGACTCAAAACGTGGGCAGGTGTGCCAACAGCATGGACCAGCACGCGTACGAGAGGGTAAACGAGAAATTGCTACCATTTACCTACCCCGCGCCGAGCACTGGGCTGGCGTTCAGTGGACACGGTCTTTATCTATTTTTTTATTTTTTAATTTTTTTTAAAGATTTTATTTATTTATTTGACAGAGACATAGCGAGAGAGGGAACACAA